ACCTTCAATTCAAAATATTAACCAAAGGTAAGGAAGATCCAAGTATTTTTCATATGTAGAAGCCCTTTTACTTTCTAATGGAACTAACAATCTATGTCTTGCGCCTGTGTTTAATACATAAATGATGCATGTCTTCACTATAATAATAATAATAATAATAATACACATATCATATCATATCACCACATACAACATAAGACGTATTAATGAGAATAACAAAAATCCATTACTTTTAATTAAGCAAAAAAATTAAGGCTAGTACCATATTTACAAAATATTTAAAGCCACCATGAATATTAAAAAAGTTACCATTCATCCAATATGATAATGTCAATAAAGAATAAAAACTAAACCACTAAATTCAAAAAGAAACAATCATCTTTTTCAAAATAAGAACATAACCATCAATTTTGAACATATATTAGATCCCCTCGTTTGTACAAAATCTTGACGGCAACAATCGATCCTTCAATCATATTCTGTAATAAAAAAAAAAAATTCAATTTTATTACATTTAATGAAATCAGCACATGGCTCTATTAAAAATTTACTAACACACAATGCAAAAAAATAATATTTGAATGAATTTAAAACTTACTTGAATATGAAAAGTCATAGTGATGCTTCGAATAACCCTTGTAGCCTTCTTTGATTCTTATAGAAAAGTCCTTAGCTCTTAACCTGCTAATTTTTGGATTTCATCTACTATATATATATATATATATATATATATATATATATATATATATATATATTGTGTAAAGAGTTGAGAGAATAAAATGTATCAGTAATATATATTACTTCCATTGGGAGAGATGCTAAACATAGAAAATTCCAAAGTAGAATTGAAACAAAGGTACATAAGAAATTGATTTCATATCAACATCAGTATATATATAAGTGTTACAAATTTAGATCAAGTACTCACCTTAACTATGAAGATTTATGTCTTCAAAGAAAGAATAAATCCCCTTTAGAAGGTAAAATCACTCAAATCCTACCCAAAAACCTGCAAATAAATTAATTGCCTTTTATTTAATAATTAAATTCAACAAATTTCAATCTTAATGTTTCTTGATACTCTAAATTAAAGATTATATGCCAAAAATGCCCTAATGGCAATTAGAGATTTAGATTTTTAGAACATAAAAGGAAGAATTTAACGAGCCAATCCTTTGTATGCTAATTCATGAACAACACATTCAAGGTATATTGCCAGATTAGCAAACCAAATAGTATTACTGCCACAAACTGCTTAAAATGTTAAACCAATTCAAATATATACACATTTTCTAAAATGCAAAAATGAAAATAAATTAAACCAACCCATCATTAATGAAAATCAATACAACCCAGCCCACCATTATTAGTTATACACATCTGTATATTCATCTATTCATCTCTAAGACGCAAAATAGCTAGGTAGAGATAGAAGAGTACTAGGAACAATCATAGGGGGGAATACAAAATCAGCACATGACAATATTACACTTGTGAAGAAAAGAAGCCAAGAAATATATATATATATATATATATATATATATATATATATATAACCTCAATCTCTCAATCAAACGAGCTAAGAACATTGGCAGCAACATTGTCAATAATCTTATCACTGTAGAATCTCAGGTATTATAAATTTATTTATTTGATTGAAACTGAATTTGGGAGGGAATGACTCATGATGGCCATCAGAATCCACATCTAATAAAAATGGACACACTTTACCTTTGTGCATTCTTACTAACCGAAGACAAATCATTTGTATATAAACAGAAATGTAACTTTTGCAAGTTTTACTATATTTAGAAGTATTAGTAGGCATGATTACTATCTTATTCTATCACGTTTGCTAGACATCCTTTCATTTCTAATTTCTAATTTCTAATTTCTAATGATTATTTATAGTCTAAACTGAAACTAAAGAGGAAATTAGATATTAAGGACCAAATATATGTTAATGAATTTACATACAGGAGATGTAATTTTCCAGACACCTAAAGTTAGCCATTCAATCATTACAGAAACCTCATCTTATTCTATTAAGACTTCGGGATAACCATACTAGGATACTCCATATATACATGTAATTTTTGTTTTTATTTTTTTTGGAAAATAAGTATGCAAAAAAAAAAAAAAAAAGAAAAAAAAAAAAAAAGCCTGTACAATATACATGTTATTTTTCACATCCAAATAGATAAATACATTTAAGAACATGCCAGTTTTATAAACATGTGCCAATCTTGTAGCATTCACAGTCAAGAAAGTGATAATGGTTGTATTTTTAGTGCTCAAATATATGAAGAGAGAAGTAAAAAAATGGAGAGAAAAATAAATGAAACTAATGGCACCAAATAAAAATTAAAAATAAAAAACGAGGCAGGATTCATAAGGTATGCAACCAAAAACCCTAATCAAAAACTCCAAAAATCAACCATGATCAATAGAGACCAACCCACTTTCATTCACATTTAACAACAAAAATTGAATCTGTAACAAGAAACAAACACCAAATACACAAAATCATGCACAAATCTTGTGTTCCCTAATCTCATTACACATGTCAGAAAACAGAACAGAGAAACCCAAATTTACCATCTCTTCGACCCTTAAAATGGGATTGTTGAAGGATTGTGCTGTTTCAAGTTCCATTCTCCATGACTGGACCTTCCTCCGTCTTGCTACTGTCCACCAGATTGAAGATTAAGAACTTCGGTGCTCTAGCTCGCCATCAATGGCTGTTTTCCCGGAAAGCCCTAAACAGCCAAAGAGGGCACAAGAATAAGGATTCTGAATGATTAGGGCTCCAATGGCTTAAATTAGATGAGGAAATAAGTAGGGTAATAAGGTAAATGCATTGAAATAGGGAGAAGGGCATTTTAGACAACAAAAATTTTAACAGTAAAACTTCATGTGCCATGTCATCATTTAGGTCAAACTCATTTTTGTGAAAATATAAGACTTTAACTCCGTCAATGTGTAAATATGGGGCCCTAACCCCATTTATATGTAAAAATCGCTAAATAAAAAGTCCCATTCACATGGATTATGCGATCACGTGGGTCGACCATAAATTCATACATTATTGTCCTCCTAATTTTGTTGCCATTTTAAGAATGGCGTGAAGGAAGTGTGTGGCAAGATAATTTGGACTTATAGGTTGCAATGATTTATGAGAGCTTAGACGGAGATGTGGTTGGACATCGACCACAACAATTTGGTTTTTAGTTGTGTACAAAATTTCTGTTTTCATTAGTCTCAAGCAAATAAGCAAATTATTGTCCAAATTAACTTTTGAATTATATGTGGAATTTGAAGTACTCACATTGAATTGGAAGCAATTAAGTCCGTTTTACTATGGTACTTAAATTTAATTTCCCATCCAAACATTACAGTAAAATTACAAGTATGTTAGGATGAAAGAAAATTAAATGGAAGGGAGGGAAGATGATATGAATGAGACATTTTTAGATAAGACATTGTATATTTTTCGTTTTTTGTTTGGTTGGATGTAAGAAAATAATGTAATATTTTATTTTGTTTGGTAGGAGAAAAGATAATAGAAAGTGCTAATTATAAGAAAAGTTTGTTATTTTAAAATATTTATTAAAGCATTTTTTTTTTTTTTTACCAAATGTAGTAAATTTGTTTCTTTCTTTCTGTCTTCCTTTCACTTCTCTTCCTTCCTTCTTACAAAACGGAGTATTAAGGATTTGGATATTGTAAGATTTAAAAATAGCCTTTGGTTGGTTGGTTTTTTTTTTTTTTTTTTCCTTGGCCTATAGTTGTTGCAGCTTCTAGAAATGTCAAATACAAATATAAAATTTTGTAGATAAATCTAATACAAATGTGGGACAGATATAAGTTGCAACTCATATTCAAACCATTTATAACGACTCAAATATGATCAAATCAAAATGGGTCGGTTTAACACATTATGACCTAGTAACCCACTTTCCCTCTTTATTATTATTATTTAAAAAAAAAAAAAAAATCTTTTTACTTCAAGCCAATACCATCATCAAGTTTGAATGGGTAAAATTGAGCACGTCAAAATACGTTGAAAAACCACCATAGGTATGGGTCAAATATATTATTATTATTTTTTTTTCGGAAGGTAGGTATGGGTCAAATATGCTTGCTAAATCTTGCAACTACTTTTGAAAAATCGTTAAATTTATATTATTTTATGAATTTTGAAAATACAAATCCAAGTTGGCATGTGCCATTTAGCAAAAGACCGATCCATTTAGTATGACCCAACCGATTTAAAAATATAAAGGAGTCTTTTATTTGTGTATGTCTATATATATACTTATGTATAAAGTCTCTCTAAAGCACCCACAAATGTTATTTACTGTCAAATAAAAGTAAAAGACCATTTTTTTTCCCCTTATCTTTAAAATTAAATCCAAGCTAGCATGGAATTGACCCGTATCTGTGACCATAAACCGACCCATTTTAATTTAATTTAATTTTTTATCCTTTTAAAATGCTCATCTGCAATTTTTAATTCAATTATCCTCTATCCCAAATTTCACCTAAAAATACCCCACCCGGCAACCCAAAGAACAAACACCTATTTGATTTGAAGGGAGTCCGAACCATAGATAGTCGAGGAAGTCGGTAGCCTGGGGCGGTGATCTGAATCCCACCCCAATTTTGATACACAGGTTTTGGAAATAGAAACGCATATACAGTGTTTGATAAAAATAAAAAGGTCAAACTAACCTGATGGGCGGGTGGGTTGTTAAAGATAGGAAAACCTAGAATCCCGCGCAACTGATCTTCAATCTCCTCTCCGTTTTAATACAAAAGTCTAGTACTTTGGAGATAGAAGAAAGTCACAAAAGACAAACTGACTTGATGGGTGGACCCTTAACCATCGTTTGCATTATTCTCGACAATAGATGAACCGTGAACCCATATATAGAGGCCAAATGTCCTACATAATTCGAACTCGAAAAATTTAACTTGAGCAAACACAAAGTCACTTGATGGCGAATGATAGAAATTGTGAAGCTGAAGTCCCAGAGGAGGATATATCTGGGCTTTTGGGGTACCTACAGATAAAAATCGTCAGCAACAAAGAAAAGATAGAGGCTCTGAAGCCTTTCAAGGAAGAGGAGAAAGAACTCCCCACCATTCACAGGGTTCCAGATGTGTTTCATAAAATGAATGAACTTGCTTATTCTCCTAGCGTTGTAGCTATTGGGCCTCTTCACGGAGGAAAGAAAGTTCAGAAACATCTCCAAGCAATGGAGGTGGAGAAGCTTAGCTACATGCATCACCTGTTTGAACGAACAGAAAATTTTGAGAAAACGCGACATGACTGTGTGGCTGCCATGTTAAAATTGGAGTCTAATGCCAGGAGATGCTATGCCGACGATGTCAGACTCGATTTCACACTGGATGAAGATGACAATCCAGTCGATGCCAACTGTTGTACTCCAGAAAAATTCAGGTTCGCGGAAATGATACTTATTGATGGTTGCTTTATTATTGAACTTTTTTACAGGAGTTACCTAAAAGAGATTGACCCCATTGCCGCCAACAATTTCAAATTCGCAGCTGTCGAACAAGACTTGCTGTTGCTCGAGAACCAGCTTCCCTTTTTTGTTCTTGATAAATTGTTTGGCCTCACTGTTGGACGTAGCCCGGAATATTGCAGCCACGGCCCTTCGTTGAGTGATTGTGTACTTTCATTCTATGGGGATGTACTAAGCCTAGAAGGTGGTAAATTGAAAAAAAGGATAACATCCTGCCAGATGGCCCAGCTCATATACTCCATCTTTTACACAGTTGCTACTTGCCAACTGGGTCACACCAAGAAGAGAAAACGGAGGAGACTGCAGATTCAGACGAAGAAGAGAAGATGGAGCTAGTATTAAAGAATTTCAAATATTCTGCAACAGAACTTGACTTGGGAGGAACCAAATTTGTGCAAGGTAATAAGGAGAACATATTCGACGTGAAGTTCACGACTCATCATAGTTATTTTCCTTTTCGTAGAGGAGGTGAATTTGAGATCCCGCCGTTCACCGTTAATGATTGGACGGAGTTGATCTTGAGGAACCTCATTGCTTTTGAGCAATCTTGCCCTTTAATGGTTAAGAGTTACTTCACATCACATGCTTTCCTCATGGATAGACTCATCAACACGGCCGAGGATGTAAAATTGCTTGAGAAAGAAGAGATAATATGTAACAAGATGGGTTGCCGTGAAGAAGTGGCATCTCTCTTCAACAAACTCTGCAAGAATATTGCTATAGATAGTCTCTACTCAACTAACCACTGCCTAGAGGTCATCAATTTTCACAAGCATCGCTGGCCCAAGTTTCAAGTGAAACTGAAACGTGATTATTTTAGTAATCCATGGACAATCATATCAGTAGCTGCTGCCTTCGTCCTTTTTGGGCTTACATTGATGCAGACCATATTTGCGGTGCCTTCTTAAATCGTTAAGTACGTGTATATACATATAAGGTCTAGTATGCATTAATAATGTGGATGACTAAGCATTTGTTCTTCCCAAATTTGTTTCATGGATCTAGATCAGTATATGTTATAGGGATTACTGTCTTTAACTAGGATGGTATTGTAAGAAACATGTCTGTATGTCTTTAACTAGGATGGTATTGTAAGAAACATGTCTGTATGTCTTTAACTAGGTTGGTATTGTAAGAAACATGTCTGTATTTGCTTAATTTGTTGAGCTCTTTGATTTTTTTTTTTTTGGGTTTAAAGGTAAGCTTTAATAGAAGAAAAAGAGAATGTACAGAGGATAGTCACTGAGGACACAAGAAGCCAAAGGCTAACAAACAACCAGAACCTAGTCCAACCAAAATTTACAACAAGCCAAAAAAAACAAACAACCGGAACCTAGTCATCAAATGGCCATTGCCTGATGCAGCCACGGTCCCAGAGAGAGAACTATCCAAATATGAAGGCCTTCTAAAATTCAATACTTAAGAGTCCAGACGAGAAGATAACACTCAATTCAGTCAGTAGAGCACACCATGTTAGGCCTGGTCCCCTATTAGTCTAGATCAGAGCTCTTTCTCAGCTTTAGAGATGCCAGCTTTGCTCTGATACATTTTCAGAACGTACACTCAAAGCATCCACGTATTTGTTTGTGTAGATACGGTTGTACCTTTCTTTCCATGAGTGCTAAATTATATGCGAATAATGGATTAATTAGAAAAAGAAGAAAGATGAGTGATGAATGCTAGTTACGAATGCCTAAATTTTATGAAAGGAGAAATTAATGTAACACGGTTAACACTTAATTTATTAAACCGCGAAAAATACAAGTATATGAGAATTGAATGCGTTAATATGTTAAAATGTAAATACATATTGAATGCATGGCTTGGAGATGTATCCCTGAAGTGTTTATAACTAATTAACAGGTACAAAATTGCTGATTAATTATTTACTTAAAAAAAAAAAAAAAATCGTTAATAATTTTATCCAAAATCAAACCTTTTTATTTATTTTTTTTGGGAAGGTACCAAAATCAAACCTTGATATTACTAAATAATGTTAATCAGAACTTTTTGTTAATCATTCTTAAATACATATAATGATAATCATATGAAAAGTTGTAAACACTTTTATAACTTTTTGTAAACGCTCTTTGTTGATCATTTATTAATTAATGTGATTATTATTATGTGAATATATACATTATATTTACAAATTTAACGCTCTCATGATCCCCTTTCGGTTCTCCTTCCATCCATGTGATTTAGGGTCTAACTATTGCACGGACCTTGTTATTGTCTTATTATTTATATATTGTGTTTGTCGTATGGTTGCAATAGATGAAAAAATAAATGCTGACATTTTGAATTATATTTTGATTATATTAATTTCTTAAGTAAAAGAATTCACAATCACACTGGATGGCGTAGAATTTGAGGACCGTCACATGGTTACGCAAGCTAATGGGATTTGCAGTAACTTCATCGACCTTATTAAACACCTAACCTACTATATATATCTTTTTCAGTAAATACCTGACCTACTATATTAATTCATCCATTACACTGCATATACATTTACTTATTATATGGAATACGTTTGCTTATTAATTAATTCAATAAGCACGTTCTCATTTACTATTGCTAATTAATTCTATTGGTAGAACTTCTCCAATTTAAAAGTGAGGCTGATCAGTTGGGAGTCGATAGTAGACAAAATAGCTTGACCTTTAGGAAAAAAAATAAAAAATACAAAAATAAAAATGGTAATTTTGGAAACATATAATTATTTTAGTAGCCGTGCAATTGGGTTCTAACTCATCTTGAGTTCGGTAGCATGCACTAGTCACTACCTACCCCTGCTATTTACAGTCTTGATCAACGATAGAAAAAATAAAATAAATTGCAGTTTCTACGGTGACTATGTATTAATAAAGGACCACATGTGTAACCGAAGTTTCCGTAGAATTAAAGACCTAATATGTGAACTTCGAGATGGAAATGCATTCTTTAAAGTATCAGCAAAGTTTTGCCTCCTCTAGTCCCTACCTCCCCCTGCTATTTACAGACTTGATCAACGATAGAAAAAATAAAATAAATTGCAGTTTCTACGTTGACTATGTATTAATAAAGGACCACGTGTAACCGAAGTTTAATTTCCATAGAATAAAAAGAACATACTAACATGTGATCTTCGAGATGGAAATGCATTCTTTAAAGTATCAGCAAAGTTTTGCCTCCTCGACCTTATTAAACACCTAACCTACTATATATATCTTTTTCAGTAAATACCTGACCTACTATATTAATTCATCCATTACACTGCATATACATTTACTTATTATATGGAATACGTTTGCTTATTAATTAATTCAATAAGCACGTTCTCATTTATTATTACTAATTAATTCTATTGGTAGAACTTCTCCAATTTAAAAGTGAGGCTGATCAGTTGGGAGTCGATAGTAGACAAAATAGCTTGACCTTTAGGAAAAAAAATAAAAAATACAAAAATAAAAATGGTAATTTTGGAAACATATAATTATTTTAGTAGCCGTGCAATTGGGTTCTAACTCATCTTGAGTTCGGTAGCATGCACTAGTCACTACCTACCCCTGCTATTTACAGTCTTGATCAACGATAGAAAAAATAAAATAAATTGCAGTTTCTACGGTGACTATGTATTAATAAAGGACCACATGTGTAACCGAAGTTTCCGTAGAATTAAAGACCTAATATGTGAACTTCGAGATGGAAATGCATTCTTTAAAGTATCAGCAAAGTTTTGCCTCCTCTAGTCCCTACCTCCCCCTGCTATTTACAGACTTGATCAACGATAGAAAAAATAAAATAAATTGCAGTTTCTACGTTGACTATGTATTAATAAAGGACCACGTGTAACCGAAGTTTAATTTCCATAGAATAAAAAGAACATACTAACATGTGATCTTCGAGATGGAAATGCATTCTTTAAAGTATCAGCAAAGTTTTGCCTCCTCGACCTTATTAAACACCTAACCTACTATATATATCTGTTTCAGTAAATACCTGACCTACTATATTAATTCATCCATTACACTGCATATACATTTACTTATTATATGGAATACGTTTGCTTATTAATTAATTCAATAAGCACGTTCTCATTTATTATTACTAATTAATTCTATTGGTAGAACTTCTCCAATTTAAAAGTGAGGCTGATCAGTTGGGAGTCGATAGTAGACAAAATAGCTTGACCTTTAGGAAAAAAAATAAAAAATACAAAAATAAAAATGGTAATTTTGGAAACATATAATTATTTTAGTAGCCGTGCAATTGGGTTCTAACTCATCTTGAGTTCGGTAGCATGCACTAGTCACTACCTACCCCTGCTATTTACAGTCTTGATCAACGATAGAAAAAATAAAATGAATTGCAGTTTCTACGGTGACTATGTATTAATAAAGGACCACATGTGTAACCGAAGTTTCCGTAGAATTAAAGACCTAATATGTGATCTTCGAGATGGAAATGCATTCTTTAAAGTATCAGCAAAGTTTTGCCTCCTCTAGTCCCTACCTCCCCCTGCTATTTACAGACTTGATCAACGATAGAAAAAATAAAATAAATTGCAGTTTCTACGTTGACTATGTATTAATAAAGGACCACGTGTAACCGAAGTTTAATTTCCATAGAATAAAAAGAACATACTAACATGTGATCTTTGAGATGGAAATGCATTCTTTAAAGTATCAGCAAAGTTTTGCCTCCTCGACCTTATTAAACACCTAACCTACTATATATATCTTTTTCAGTAAATACCTGACCTACTATATTAATTCATCCATTACACTGCATATACATTTACTTATTATATGGAATACGTTTACTTATTAATTAATTCTATAAGCACGTTCTCATTTATTATTACTAATTAATTCTATTGGTAGAACTTCTCCAATTTAAAAGTGAGGCTGATCAGTTGGGAGTCGATAGTACACAAAATAGCTTGACCTTTAGGAAAAAAAATAAAAAATACAAAAATAAAAATGGTAATTTTGGAAACATATAATTATTTTAGTAGCCGTGCAATTGGGTTCTAACTCATCTTGAGTTCGGTAGCATGCACTAGTCACTACCTACCCCTGCTATTTACAGTCTTGATCAACGATAGAAAAAATAAAATAAATTGCAGTTTCTACGGTGACTATGTATTAATAAAGGACCACATGTGTAACCGAAGTTTCCGTAGAATTAAAGACCTAATAGGTGATCTTCGAGATGGAAATGCATTCTTTAAAGTATCAGCAAAGTTTTGCCTCCTCTAGTCCCTACCTCCCCCTGCTATTTACAGACTTGATCAACGATAGAAAAAATAAAATAAATTGCAGTTTCTACGTTGACTATGTATTAATAAAGGACCACGTGTAACCGAAGTTTAATTTCCATAGAATAAAAAGAACATACTAACATGTGATCTTCGAGATGGAAATGCATTCTTTAAAGTATCAGCAAAGTTTTGCCTCCTCGACCTTATTAAACACCTAACCTACTATATATATCTTTTTCAGTAAATACCTGACCTACTATATTAATTCATCCATTACACTGCATATACATTTACTTATTATATGGAATACGTTTACTTATTAATTAATTCAATAAGCACGTTCTCATTTATTATTACTAATTAATTCTATTGGTAGAACTTCTCCAATTTAAAAGTGAGGCTGATCAGTTGGGAGTCGATAGTAGACAAAATAGCTTGACCTTTAGGAAAAAAAATAAAAAATACAAAAATAAAAATGGTAATTTTGGAAACATATAATTATTTTAGTAGCCGTGCAATTGGGTTCTAACTCATCTTGAGTTCGGTAGCATGCACTAGTCACTACCTACCCCTGCTATTTACAGTCTTGATCAACGATAGAAAAAATAAAATAAATTGCAGTTTCTACGGTGACTATGTATTAATAAAGGACCACATGTG